AACTAACTGAAATTAAATGTAAAATGGAAGCCTGGGTTATCTCCAGTTGTACAGGGAACGTAAGAATTATAGTATGTTAGAGAACTAACCAAAAATATACAATTATGATGAACATTATGACAGAAAAGCTAAAATTACTGGAAGGATTATATGGATTGCTTAGTCTAGGGATGATAACATGTCAGAATGATCAGAAGATTCTGTTATTTTTTTTAATGTTTTGAATGGGTAAATGTTACAAGAGCTGTCCGTAAGACAGCGCGCTCGACTTTTTTATTGCTTGCCAATAAAAAAAGTTTTTGCAGTAAAAGGCAATACAAGAATCTCTGTAACTATTTTTAAAGTGAACTAGTTGTTTGATACCCTTGAATATTACAGCAATGTTTATATGACATAATTTATGGTAAAGTGAACAAGTGGATAGGAATGAATTTTTTTAGATTTTTTAAGTTTTTTAGTGCTTGCCTATAATACAAAACATTGACAGTTAAGGGCCATAATTCAAATAAAATCTTTGACAGAATTACCTTCTCCTGGACATGTTTGGGAATCATGATTGTAAACAAGTATTCCAACTTTCAAATTAATATCTCAAACAGTTCAGTCAAAAAGTGGACTGGTACTAAAAACTTAACCAAGATTCTAAGTCGATAAAAGGCCTTAATTTTTAAAACAAATCCTTGACAGAGTTACCTTCTCTTGCGTACAGATGGGGTAATGATGTGAAATAGCATTAAAAGTTTCAAAGCAATATCTCAAAGGGTTAAGGCAATAAGTGGATTTTACCATATTCAATGTATTTTCTAAGTCAAAAAGGGGCATAATTCTGTCAAAAACCTTGACAGAGTTATGTCCTCTTGTCTGTTGATGAAGGTCGTGATGGTAAACAAGTATGGTCAGTTTCAAAGCAATACCTCCAATGGTTTTTGAAATAAAGTGAGGTGGTACAAAAAACTTAACCAAGCTCAATACACTTTCTAAGTCAAAAAAGGGCCATAATTCTGTCAAAAACCTTGACAGAGTTATGTACTCTTGTCTGTAGATGGAGGTTATGATGGTGAACAAGTATGGTAAGTTTCAAAGCCATACTTGTAATACTTCTGAAATAAAGTGGGGTGGTACGAAAAACTTAACCAAGGTGTGACGCCAACGCTAACGCCGACGCCGACGCCGGGGCGAGTAGGATAGCTCCCCTTTTCATAGAAAAGTCGAGCTAAAAATGATTGAATGTCTAATTGTCAGAATAAAGTAATGTCAGAATGATCATATGACAGAATGTCAGAATGTTGCAATAATATTTAAATGCTTGGATGCTTAAATGTCTGCATGAGTATAAAATGTCAGAATGTTACAATAAAAGAATGACAGGGTATGATGCTGATCGGACATTGACATTCTTAGATTAGAAAGTGTCTCAAAGCTAAGAATATGGAAACATTTTTATATATAAGATTATGAAAATGTAACAGGACATGATAATTCAATACTAAATTGAATCTATAGAATATTTGTGATGTAAAGGGAATGCTAAGTTGGTTGAATGCAATGAAAAGATGAATACAACCTCTAAATATTAGGATATAAGAATGAACACCTGTATGAAGTTGGAATGAGAAAACAACATAATTGTACAAATTACAATATTGCACCTTCTAAGAATGATGAGTATAATACTAAAAACAAAATGAGCATTTCCTACTATAGAACAGAGATAGGACTAATCAAAACTGGCACATCCCAGAAATAACTTATTTGTTATTACTTACAGAATGAAACAAGAAGAAGGCCTCATTGAAATCAAGAATATCAAGAAACATATTTACTTATTTTCTAGCTATCATTATACAGTGAAATTTGAGAAAACCGGACGCTGAGAAAATCGGAACTCTCTAAATACCGGACGAATAATTCAGTTCCAAATTTTCCCTTCTTTAAACTATTGTATTAAACATTGACAATACCGGAATCTGTAAAAACCGAATATGGGACGGTTGATTGGGGACTACAAATTAAATTATATAGACAATTACCCTGACAATACCGGACGCCGAATGTGTGAATAACCTAGCTAATACGTTAATTGAGCGGTAACGGAACAATGATTGTCTGATTTGTTTCTTATGTCTCACACAGTTTGATTTATTGTAAGGTATAGATGTTACCGTTTTATACAAATGCCAAAATGCACGAGGAATTGATCAGTTAAAATCAGTATGAATAAAAAATCGAATATTTTCCTACTGAGTTGTTTTTTGTATATTCATTTCCTAAAATGACAACGCAACGGAAACGACATTTTTAGGCACTAAGTTCTATTCCATGGCCGAAAAGAATTCGACGAGAGCTGTCTACATGTGACAAAGTTAAATTAATTAAAGACAGTGAAACTTTGCCGAGATCTACTTTAAAAATCTGACCAATATGTTATTATTATAAACAAACAAAGTAAACTATGTTCGTTAAATCATTACTCATTACCCAAATGTAAACATATGTGGATGTACTCGGACTTGATCGTTATAAGGTAACTTCTGTTCATTTAAATCCAAACTTTAATTGTATTTATATGCAATAATAAGACTAAAACAATTAAAACATATTTTCTTGTATTTTTATCATTCCTTTGTAAGTCATTGCTCGGTTATAATATAAGATCCTGAACAGCTGAAGGGGACATTGAGAATACCATATATCATTAACTTTTGCTGGTAACTGGGTTTCAATTTTCATTTTTGTTCTTCTACAAATCAAGTTAGTCGAAAATGACGAAATATGACACCTGAAACCCTTTAGTTCCCAGCAACTGTACTTTGTAAAAACTTCATTGTTTGTGTGCTAGCATTTAAACTTCTCTGTTGTTTTGCTATAACCATTGCCATGACACAGCAAATATGGCCAATTTTGGCCAAAATCTTTAGAGAATACCCATGTGATGTTTACACTATGTATATTCTTTTAATGTATTCATAACATACCATAAATTACCCCATGTTTATTATTTTCATGTTGTCTCAAAGTTAACTTCTTTAACCTTGAATTTGTGAACAAATCAATAAAATTTTATGTGAAAAAAACAATTGTGTACAAATCAAAATATTTTGTGTTATCTACAAAAAGAGGTGTTTACAACAATATTTTTGCAAGGAATTAACAATTTCAGGTGAATAAGAAATTCAAAATACCTCCTACAATGCATAAATCTATTCAATAGTTTTGTCATTCTTTATTCATTTAAATGCAATATACATGTATAATTCTAATTAAGAAGAGAGATAAACAAACTGACCTGTTTCATCACAGAATGTTAAAAACACTGACATTCTATAAATATCAGAATTAAAGCAGCATGCCTCCAGATTCATGTTAATTTTCATGAAAATTTTGGAAATGTATTTAAAAGTAAAATATTGTGAGGTGAACAAATAAATCAATATTACATACATTTACATATTGCAATCGGCACTCATAATCAAAGAAAATTACCAAAAAGTGGTCAACATATGCAAAAACAGCCCTTACTCCCGGGTGTAGATTTTCCGAGGTTTATGAAAAAAACCATGGAAACTGCTTCAAAAACCTTGGAAATAAACCAGTTTTACAAGGTTTTTTCTTAATTCCGAGGTTTTTTTTAAAACCTTGGAAACTTTATCCAAGGTTTTTGTATAAAAATCCTTGGAAATAAAGAAAACCTTGGAAACTATCTCGGAATTAAACACTCTGCCAAAAATTCAGCTCGGAAAAAGCTTGGAAATAAGAACTTTGTCATTTTTTTGCTCGGAAAGAACTTAGAAAATTTACGTAAAATTTGTTGGAAACACTTTGCCAATATTTAGCTTGGAAATGACCTCGGATAATTGAACTTAACTAAATTTCATCTCGGAAAATGTTAAGACATAATCATGATTTAACTTATAATGGGGCATCAAAAGCAATAATCAACAGTTAAAGCAAACTAAGATAACAACCCAACTGTAGATTGCCAATGGATATTTCTTAATCCATGGTCAGAGCAAAACAATTGTCCAACAGCATGGAAAGGAGAGATTTGGTCCAGGGGAATCAATTTTTTTATAGTATGGACATTGTCAATGAAAACTGCCTTTTCAATAAATTTGTACTTTAATCTTCTGAAGCCATTTTTGTGGGAGGAATCAATTAAAAAATTTAAGTGTGAAAACATGAAAAGTTAAATACAATGTAAATTCCTTGTTGCCATAAAATACCTTTTATTAATGGCTATAAAGGTATTGTAAACTAATCATAATAAGATAAAGATTATTCAAAATAACTGATGATCAGAAAGACTTGAAATTTTTTTATTTTTTTTATTATCATATTTTTTTTTATTATTTATAATTATTGTTACTAGATATCTTCTCCATTTTTAAGAATAGATATAAACAATCAGTGTTTATGTCTATTAGTTTCTAAATGCATCAGTATTTTTCCTGCAGTTTCTTTCTATATATAGACTTAACCTAGGGTTTCTTGACAGCCTGTAAGCAACACTGAAATAAGAATGCTATTAATCTTTAATATATGTTTTTATGCATATCTTAAAATAGTATATCTACTAAGCAAGTCTGTGACATACATTCAGATTACAATTTACTCTGCCATTAATTATGTGTACAATAAACATAAATAGTTATTATAATTGTCCTTTTAAATATATAATTATGTACAATTAATGTGTAAAATATGTATGCTTGATACTTTCTTATAATTAAGATAAATAAATACTGCATCACTATTAGTTTTCACACACAGAATATAACACACTTAGATCAGATAAAACTAATGGCACCCCAGGTGGTTCCCTCTTATAATCTATGCATGATCAATCTTCTCATTGAGCATTCTGGATAGACCAGATGTTCCATGTGATTATTCAGGGGGAGTCTGGGTTTTTATACAATCCAAAACAGTCTAAAAATGACACTGCAACTGTGATTCTTTTATAATTTTCAAGTTTTACTTTTTATTTATCATTTGATATATTTGTACCTTCAATAAAATTAATGTAAAAATAAAATGATGGTGGCTTTGATATTTTGGGATCACCCCTGTTTCACATTATGATTGCCCCTTCAGTTATACTGTTGAAAAATTTGAATCTCAGACATTAATGGGTCAAGTGGTTATAGTTGGAAGTAGTGCAAACCTGGATTTATTTTAAGCAATTTTTGGACATATCTTGTTTTAAATGTTAGGGAGCATATTTTGGAATTTTCAAAGAAAACATTTATCTAAGTGTGACAAGATTCAGGAAATGTTTGGTTGTTGTAATTGAACCTAAAGATCAATGACCTGGGACAGGAGATAAAACAAAAGAAACATGATAGTAAAAAGGTTCAGGTAAATAAGTTTAGATACATTTATGCATAAAATCTGTTGTTGTTTTTTTTTTTCAAATAAGTATTAAATACAAACTATTTTAGATCTATATTTTTAACCTAAATGTAAGCTAGTTTAAATACAATTGTTTAGAGGATATTTTATGAGTATTAATGTTATTTTTGTCTATGATTGTATTGAACAAGATGAGTGCATGAAACTATAATGATGACATTATTTATAAACTTTCATCTTTCATCTATTATTTGAATCTACAAATTTTTAATTACAGAGTCAGCTTGTAAGCAAGTTTGCAAGACTGTTCCAAACTACAAGAAGATGGCAATCCAGCTTTGCTGTGTTTTATCATAGTATATCATTGGCATCCAGGCATCGATTAAGGAAGCCAACTGTAGACCAGGAAAGGCTTCAAGGAATATACTACAGTATGTTTTTGTTTTAAAACTAGGTTTTGAAAGTTTCAATTTGAATGAATGAAGGTTTCTGGAACTGATTTTTTTATTGATACTTTGTTGGAAATGCTATTAATGTTACATGATGACTCTCCAGCTTTAATGATGCAGATGTCACTTTGAGCAGACAGATACAATTAGTGTAGGCAATCGGAATCACCTTATGTTCAAAAGCGTTATTTTTTGCAATATTTTTAGAGTGCTTTAGGTTGTAACATCCAGTATGACATATTATCTAAAATAATAGTAACAGACATCGTTTCTTTTCTAAACATCGCAGAATTGTCACACTGCTTACCAAAGTTTTCTTGAAATCCTGACACTAAGTACTGATGAAGAAAAATAAGAAATCAACATGAAAAAAAATTAAATTCACTATTTCAAAACAGTAGACAAACATTTAAAAGTAACTACAGAAAAGGTCATTTGAAAATATTAAAGCCATCATTTTAATCAATGGTCTTGAACAACTTGTTATTCAAGTAGTTTTGGATCACTCAAAAGATGTATTTCTTTTCACAAAAGTGCTGATTTTTTAAAACAATAAATATCAACAGTGAACTGATATTTTTGTCTATGGAAACATTTAAGGAATGTATCATTTTTTTTATTGATTAATAAAAAAGAAATTAAATGATGTAATTCTGATTGCCTACAAATACTGAACTGTCCTGAGTATAACCACAGGTGTTCCTTTATCCTGGGCTGGATAGCTCCCTCAGAGGGAAGAAGCCCATCCTGGCTTCAGGAGTCAAAAATACAATGTTGTATATAAGGCAAGTAGTTTGAAGTCTTTGATCCTGACCACATGGAGAGGGAAGCCCCCAATGGAGAGGGAAGCGCCCAGTGGTGATTTTATATAATTGTTTTTCTAACTTCTTTCAATGGCTGTACTTTATTAAATGTTAACTTTATTTATTTCAGGAATTGTATCCTGGAGCATTTTCCACATGTGACCCCTGTGATGGTGAGGGAAAAACTAAGGGACATTTAAAAATCATGAAGAGTGAACAGGAATTCAAAAGATAGATATTTGAATACATTAAAATTTAACCGGATTCCAAAATATTATAACTGAACATTTGAGTGTAATATTTACCATTAAAGACTTCTAACTTAACTTTTCATTTGTAGTGCATTACTATTTACTTCACACTGACATTAAATGTTTCAGTGAGTCATGTGATCATTTTTGCTCTGTATTATTACAAAGAAGTTTCTTAATTCCTTAAAAAGGACAATATAATTGCTCTTTTCAGAATATTTGATTGGATGTTATATTTTCTGATTTTCCATGGATATTCTAGAAATTTCCAAGGTTTTTGCTCAAATAAACCTTGGAAAATTCTCTGATGCCCTTAAGTAAGAATCCTCTAAAATATAACAGTATTCCCAGTTGTGAGAAAATTTCCGAGGTTTTCATTTAAAAACCTTGGAAAACAAACCACGGAAACACTTTAAAAATCCTTGGAAATCGTTCCAATACTCCGAGGTCACTCATTTTCCAAGGTTTTCTAAACAAAATCCTCGGAAATTATTTTACGAGGTTTTTATTCGAAAATCCTTGGAAATCGTTCCAATACTCCGAGGTCACTCATTTTCCAAGGTTTTCTAAACAAAACCGTCGGAAATTATTTTACGAGGTTTTTATTCTGAAATCCTTGGAAATCGTTCCAATACTCCTAGGTCATACTTTTTACGAGGTTTTTTTTTTAAAAAAAACTCGGAAATTTTTTACAAGGTTTTTCACCCTCTCCCTATTTTTCCAAGGTTTTTTTAATAGCAAAGTTTTGCATTTTCTTGTTCCAATACTCCGAGGTTTTTTTCCAAGGATTTTGAGCCAAAAACCTTGGAAAATCTACACCCGGGCTCAATGTGTCAGTATCGCAGTAGAAATATGGTGATTAAATACTGCAAATCAGTCTTAAACCCACATAACATGAAAAATATAACTTAGATCTTGAATGTGTTAACCTATCTTAAAAGTTAGTCCATATTTCTTAATATAGATTTTCTTGAAATATTTTGGCTAATCTGGAGGTGTGCAGCTTTAAAATAACTACCCATAAGTTTACAATTATATTCCTCACTTATTCACTTCAGCTACCCCAACCCACAAAATAAACAACCCACAATTAGAAAAGACATAAAAAGAAAGTCACAGATTATGGTATTACAGAAACAGAAATCTTATTCAAATTTTAGAGGAGATCAAAATTTTGGTGAAATATGATTTTTTTTGCCAAACTCTGCCGAAAAGAAAGTTTACATGGTCTGGTTATTCTAGGAGATTTTAATCTTGTCTAGAATAACAATTTAACTGCTGAAATGAGATCTCAGTCATAAAAGTTTTGAGATTCAACTAGAAAATGAGATTAACACCTCACATTTAGACTACCTCCTTTTAAATAAGGTAACCATTATATCAATGATATAATATAATAATAACCTCATTCTCAATTAGATATACTCTATATTATTGAGATTAAGTACATATTAATGTTATTATCTCGGTATCAATGAGATATACTCCATATCAATGAGATAATCAAAGTGATAAACTCTATATTGATAAGAGTAATCATCATCAATGAGATTACTTCATTTTCAATGAGATATATCCTTTAGTTATAAGATAAGTAACCTCCTTACCAATGATATATATTCCATATCACTGAGATATACTCCATGTCAATGAGATATACTCCATATCAATGAGATTATCTCACTATCAATTAGATAAACTTTATATCAATGTGATTATCTCAGTTTAAATGTGATTATCTCAGTTTAAACGAAATATCAAAGAGAAAACCTTTGTATCAATCACAAAACTTATATCAATGAAATTATATATATATATAAAGATAAATCTCATATCAATGAGATCAATGAGGTTATCAATTTCATTAAAGAGATTATTCCCTGTATTGATAAGCAAAGCTATTATGTTATTGTTTGTCACCATCATAATTTGCTGCCTTTCAAAGGACAAACTTGCAACCTGAGGCACTAAAGTGAGTCCCCATATTGCAAAATGTGTTTTGTTGATTGATGAAATCTATGCTTTATAACAAGGTAATTTCTGGTTAAAGGAATTTCACACAAAGCAATAGCAACTGAAGTATTAATTAAATTGACAGACCCAAAGCAAACTCTTGAATATATCTTGGAATATATTGGTGAACAGTCAAAGATTCTCGGCAAAAATATGGGTAAAACATCAAAGATTCTCAGACTTTACATCTTAATGCACTATTCAATGATTCTAGGATTACATTTAGGTGCACTGAAAACATCTTGGTTCACTGTTAAAGATTCTAGAATTACGTTTGGGTGCACTGTCAAAGATACTTGTCAATGTTAAAGTTTCTAGAATTACATTTGGGTCCACTGTCAAAGATACTTGGCAATATTAAAGATTCTAGAATAATATTTGGGTACTGCCCAAAGTACGGGAAAAATTTTAAAGATTCTAAATTACTTTTCAGGGTAACTTCAAAGAATTTGGCAAATATCTCATGGAACATGTTAAAGATAAAGAAGAAAATTTACTTTGGGGGTCACTGTCAAAAAAAACATCTTGGTGACTTAAACGTCTTGGTAAACATCTAAATAGATACACAAAACATTGTCTGTCCAATAAATATTATGAATGAAGAAACTTTAATGAGGTATCGAAAAAACAATTTCTGATCTGCACCAATCACTATGAATTCCGGCGACTTTTCACTTTCACAGTTTGTTTCCAACCGAAAGTCTCGGAGAGGCCTCGAATGATTGCAACAATGATAAATAGAGGTAACAAGAAGGGTAGGATCAATAACATCACAGGTTCACCTGAAAATATAATAAACAACATAATTAACTTTACTTATTGAGTTTATATTTTGTATATAAAGCTATTATAGTACACAGGAATATTATATCCATGTAAATTCATATATATTTTATTTTTGGGGTCGGGTTTTACTTCGCACCAACACATAAAAGGTCACTTCTTTTCCGCTTTATTGGTGGAGGAAGACCTTAGGGCCCCTCCATGCATTATTTCAGGAACAAGACGGCACCTGAGTAGAACCACTGGCATCTAAAGTTACTTAATTAAGATTACATTTACATGTATGTATAATTATACATGTACTATATATAATATCCACATGAATCTATATATTTTCTAAATCATATTGCAAAATTTAATATTCACAAAAAAAAGTTTTCTCATATATTACCAGCATCTATTAATAGCAATAATTTAGAGCCAGTATTCAGTCTATATATTGGAATAATTCAATAAATGTGTAGCATTAATACTGATCTAAGTTACCTTAAAGCTGCCTTCAGTTTTTCTAAAGATTAAATATGTTATTTTTTGGATAAATCCTTTCATATAATTGTCAAACTAGAGGAATCAAGGTGGAAAATGACATTTGCCATGGCTAAAATACATAAACAATAAAGAAACCTCTCAATACCTCTAATCTACCAGTCCACTCTCTATATGTAAATAGGTAAAGTGGACGATTTATTTCCCAATCTTCTATTTTTAAACAATATGTCACTGACATGCTATAAATAGCTTAAGGGATGCTGTTTTGAAGAAGTTTTAATGATAAGGATATGATTGGCTTTCCAAGATAAAATTACTGTATGCATAGTATGAAACAATACATAGTTGTTTTTCCAACAAAAAATAACAGCTGTCAGAAGGCCACTTTAATAATATGAATAATAATTGTTTAACAAAATGAGCAACAATTATTCATCACAGCAGATATGAAAGCTAAATGTCAATATTCATAACCAAAGTCACGATGACTTTTACATAATTATATTCATGTAAATATCACAGTCATATTTTCTCCTTGAAATAAGTAGAAAATATTTGCCTAACTCAAGTAATTAATGCAGTTATGCAAATGAATGTGGCAAAATAAATGTAAATCATAATCATAATATAATAAATTGTCTCCAATATAACAAATATTTACATTTTTCAAAGAAGTATTCACCTAAATGTCAAAAACTCAGCAAATTGGTAGAGTTTTACCTTTTATATTTACTCAGTCTTAAGACAAATGTTCAACCAAATATTTAACCTACCAAATATTCACCTGAATAATTAATTATTCAGCAAATCATTTCCAAACTATGTCAATTATTCAAATGTGATAACCTCTGCATTATTACAGAGTGACAGTGGTTCACCTCATTATTTTGAATATAATTTTTATGATCATCAATTATAATAAATATTCAAATGAATATTACATATATAAGCAAAATTTACCTATATCATGAATTAAATTTTAATCTCAGTCTGTATAAAACTAAATATTTTAAATAGAGTTGCTCATATTTTTTTATCTGGACAAAACATTTCAGCAATTTAAAAGGAATTAAATCAATGTATAAAACTCAGTGAACATGCAGACATGACAGGGTGGCCTCCCGGCACAATGTGCCCTATAGTCTCACGGTCATTTTTGGGAAGATTTAAATTTTCAGCAACAAAGTTTAAAGGTAAAACTTTTTAAGCTTTTTTTTAAAACCAAAATAACTTCTCACAAAAAAAGCTTTACAATTTTTTTATTCCTCCCTTTTTGCCACTTTTTCAAAGTTGGTAACCTCCCTTGATTTAAACACTTGCTGTACAATAAATATTGCAATGTGTCAAACTTTATGACAACGTCATACTTACTGAACTGAAGAGATCCAAAAGAAGTCAAATGGAGATAACTCTCATCTTCCTGTTCACTTGTCTCCCTTGACTCCACAATTTGAACAGGGATTATCTCCCCTGCATAATCAGTTTGTTTATCCTGACCTGAATTTCTCATTTCAATGTTCTGCTGAAGCATATCTCGAGCTTCTTGTAATAATTTATCCGTCTTAGAATCTTCCTTTTTAGCACGAAACATATGAGCAAATTTTTTACGATCGTATGCCTGTTGAGCGTTTGTCCGAATTCTCGTCATCCTCTGCTCCATGCTTTCTAAACGAGCATTTTGCTCATTCTGGAGTTTAGTCAAAGCTGGATGATCGTCTAATGGGAGACCTTTATAGGTGCATAGTTCCTCTAATGGACTCATACCTGAATCGTTTCCTTCGTAATCATAACTTCCGCATTTATCACTAAAACCGGCCGAATTCCCCATTTTACCCTCACTCCTTAGAACCCAATCCACATCAACTCCGACAGAATTCGGAGAAGGTTCACTGGACGAGAAATATCCACTACTGTTCGAAAGCTGATCCAAGTTCACTGAATCACGGTATATCCTATGGCCGGCAACTTTGTGGATATTTTCTGAATCCCCGACTGCCGTCACACTTTTCATTATTTCTGTCAAATGGGATAGTTTCTTCCTCTTTTTATCCCTCCGCCTTTTTGATTGCACATGCCCCATACTGGTCGGTTCTGAAAACAAATAAAATAAGCTTTGATAAATTTAGTCATTGAAACCAAACAGATATTAATGTCTCAGAAAATATATCTTGAATGCTGAAATCAAGAATATCTTATCTTATATAAAGCAATGACCTTAATAAGGTTAATTAACAAAACAATAAAATTAGATCAATCTGAGACTTCCCTGTATTAAGTTAAAGCTTTGATGAAATCTAAGACTAATCAAGTCTGACTCTTCTAACAAAAGCTAAAGCATCAATTGCTCAGAAAAATTATTCCTTTATAATAAAGAAAACTATGAGTTAAGTGTTAAATCACATTTAGCCAAACTTATTAAACAAATACCAATGTAAAGGAACAAAAGACACTTTAATTTACACATAAAAAATAAACATTATATTTTCTTAATAATATCACAAAAATAAATCCCATTCTTACTAATTTTACCAGGTATATAATAAGTCTTTAGTACTTCTTAATCCTTGTCTATAGGAAATCTATTAAAATGGGAGAAGAAAAAAAATAGGAACAAATTACAGCTTCAAAAGAATATCTGGAATCTACCCAATGTCTGTTATTCATTAACATTGCCGAGTTATTTATTCCAAATCTTAAACAAAATTGTATAAAATAATCCAGGAACAAACAAATCTGCCAAAGTTATCCATCCCCCACCCACCTCAGAATCATGTATACACACATTGATGTAACACTATATTATTCTAGATTCATGCTTATTTTTATAAAAAAAATTGAAAATTTGACTTTTCTGTTATGTCCTAAAACAGTAATTTGTTTTTTAGTCCTAATACCCTATGAGGCACCAGTAACACCATGCGATTTAAGTCACTGTATTCAAACCACTTGCCCCTCACCACTGTGGATTCAAAGCCTGCAAGTAGCTTTTACGATTCTTAATTGTGAGGAAGCTTAGATCCATCTAGCTTACAAAGCCTTGATGGTTCTACTCAGGTGCCTGATTGTGCCTGAAATAATGCACAGAGGGGCACCTGAAGTCTTAAATTCATCCACCATTAAAGCTTCAAAGTGTTGCCATATGGCCTCTACAGTGTTGGTGCAACATTAATCCCAACTTTTACCTAATTTATGGCAGCAGATTTCTTATCATAAATAATCAGCTAAAAATAATCATCTATCAACATTGATTTAATTCACATTTTAAACTTGTATCAAACTGAGAAAATAAACAAGGAAGCAATTCAATTATGACTGAAAAAAAACAACTTATTCCGAGAAAAGAAAACTGAAACTTAAACCTTTATATTTTATAATTTTAACAATGCATTTCTTAATTAATGCTTAATTCACCAGGTAGAATCAATCAAGATATATTTAGCCAGTTTTCTGAAAATGTGTATAGCTAATTCAACAATAATAAACTTACCTAGGCAAGCAATAAAAATACAGTTTATATAAATTAGCTGAATCCCTCTAACAGTAAAAAGTGAAAATAAAACAATTTTTTTTTCTTTCTAAAAATAGATAATTATCCACTCATGAAAAAAATAAGCACTCAGTGATACAGACTTTTCGATGCTTATATAATCATTATATTTACATCTGTATAATCTACGTATTCACAACTATCAAGATAAGTAACATCAAAAAAACATATAATATTATGTTCACAGCGATTATCATAATTATTAAACATGCACATAGGAAAGTACAAGGCCTATAAAATTACTAAGCCCTTTAGTTCATTTTCAAGATGAGCAATTCTGTTACATACTTCGGCAACATAGTCACATGGTTCATTATAGGATAAAGTATATTAAGAAGTATCTATAAGGATTGCACTGTATAATAAGCCACAAGTCAGTCAAGTGGCACAAAGATTTTTGTGGTATTATAGCTACTATATATTACAGTTACTCATTTATATTATTACTCTGAATCATTATATTCTTTTATTATGTGTATATTACCATAATGTATAATAAAATTTGCTACCTTCCTCAAGATGAGCCAAAATATTTCGATAAAATCAAACTTGAGAAAAATGTACTAAGATTTTAGGAAAAGTAAAAAGATTCAAGATTCAAGTAATAATTTACAGCATTGTTGATTAATAATGGAACTGATTATTAAACAAAGGGCTATTCTAGCATATAGGCTTTTATTGTATATTTACTATTGGCATAAACAGTAATATTCTTTGAACTTGATAAATATTCAGGGCAATAACAGAGCCATAACTTTGTGTTAAATAGTAAAATCTGGAAATGCCAATGAGATGTATGCATACTACATAACTAATCAAGGGCCATAAATCTGAGTTATAAGTATCTGACCGGAACAAGACGACTATATGCACATCTCCTCTTAGTATCCCATAAAGTTTCATTGAATTCCAGCCAGTAGTAGCAGAGAAGTAGCGAGGAAACAAATATTTTTCTATATGGATACTGCATAACTAATCAAGGGCCATAACTCTGAGTTAAAGTGTCTGACCTAAACAAGCTGATATGATATGCGCATCTCCTCTTGGTATTGAAGGTTCCCATAAAGTTTCGTTGAATTCCAGCCAGTAGTTGCAGAGAAGTAGCGCGGAAACGATTTTAACTCCATATGCATACTGCATAACTAATAAAGGGCCATAACTCTGAGTTAAAGTGTCTGACCAGAACAAGCCGATGATATGCGCATCTCCTCTTGATATTGATGATTCCCTTAAAGTTTCGTTGAATTCCAGCCAGTAGTTGCAGAGAACTACTCCGGAAACGATTTTTACTCTATATGCATACTACATAACTAATCAAGGGCCATAACTCTGAGTTAAAGTATCTGACCGGAACAAGCCGATGATATGCGCATCTCCTCTTGATATTGATGATTCCCATAAAGTTTCGTTGAATTACAGCCAGTAGTTGCAGAGAACTACTCCGGAAACGAAATTCGGACGGACAACGCCAAAACTATATCCCCCTCCCGATTCCATTGGCGGGGGATAATTACATGCTATGTGTGATTAAATAATGACTGATTATAAGCAGTAAGGGCTATTTCTACATATTACGCCCTTTTTGTGTTATTTACTAGGGTTGCAAGTGCCATTCATGATCTGTAAAATGCTTCCTTTTGGTTATATATACTTCACAATATTATACTTCCTAATACAATTCTTCAAAATTTTCATGAAAATTAGCTTTACATCATTCTGGAGGCATGCTCTCATATGTTAGTTATTGATACTGATATTAAAATAAAATAAAAACCCACTCTCCTGTGATAAAATTGTTGTAAAATGCTCAGCTAATATTAATATATCGGAATAATTTTTTTAAAACATTAGAGCCCTTTAATAGACTTTCTATTCAAATTTCATAATGTATTTGTTGGTATTTTCATCTAAAATAATTTTCAAATAAACAAGTGTCAATCCAAATTGATAGAAGCAATAGAAGGTCACTAAGTTTTTACTCTTGTCAGAATGAGTCTATAGTAATATACAGTAAGTATTTGATAAAAACCTAAAAATCTTTACCATACAATCTACCATCTAACTACGTTTACTATACCTCATTTTACTAATCAGACTCTATTTAACATCCTTAAAGCCCATTCCCCCCCCCAATCCCTACCTCCCCACCCCTTCACTTCACTATACAATAATTTATATAACTTAACTACAGGTGCTAATTACCCTATTCAAATACTGAATGTGCATACCATACAATATTAAAATGCTTGCATTGAACTGACTTATGACTCAGTCATAAACTACTATACAAAGCATATTTTATAACTAATTATATATACACCAAAGGAATGTATGAAATAAATACTTACAATGTAAATGGGTACACTTATATATGCACATTACATTAAAACCCTCTTCTTTTTTTCTTCATACCAAATATGGGTACATTTTTCAAGCAACATAAATGACATGAATATTTTCGTGCAATTCAATTTTGTAGTTTTCATTTATTTGGGGAAAAAGCAAGAAATTAATGTCCAAAAGTTAAGATAAAAATACTTATTTTATTTTCTAAATATTCTCAAAGTCAGTATGCAATTGAATATTATATACACCAAAAAGCGATACCATATATCTCTCAGCTTTTCCACATCAGTTCAAAATTCAAAGCACTGGAAGAGTCCATTTCACCCGAAAGTTTTGATTTTTCCCATTTAAAATTTCATATCTCAATTTTATATCATTAAGTATTCTGAAAAGAAAATAAAAACAAACAAATTCCCAGATAGACATAGTGCAACTACACATGCTGACCAATAAATCCAGTAATGTTTCATGACTCTGGGTCAAATACAATTTGAAACAGTTTTTTACTAAGGTAAGGGCAATAACTCTACAAATCTGAATAAATATACAAGCAAACCCCCAGGTTAACAAGTACACAAGCTGCCGGACATTTCTGTAAAAAAATATTTTTTGAGGCTATTTAACATGACACAACTTGAAAATAGCATTTCTTTTACTTATACTTTCCAGGCCAATAACTCGGTTACCCTGTAATGTAAACTTTCATGACTCTTGGTCAAATAGTTTTTGAGCTCTTAACACACCACACAAGTTGAAAATTGCAAAAATCTATACGAAGTCAAGAGCAATAACTCTTAACAAAACTGAATTAATTCACATTCAAAACCCCAGGTGCACAGCTTTCATGCACTTTTAGAGGTAGTCACACAACACAACATTTTGGAATGGTTTTACTAAGTCAAGGGCAATAACTCAACAAATTCTGAATTAAAACAAGCAAACTCCCAGGTGCAGAAATACTTAAGTTGTCAAACATTTCTATAGTTTTATGACTCTATAGGTCAAGTATTTTTGGGCTTTGCATGACAATAGTCCAAAAATTGCAAATTTTACCAAGTTAAGGGAAATAACTCTAAGTACTGAATTAATGCACAAGCAAACCTTCACATGCTGAGTTTCTTAATGGACTTGTCCAGCTTACACTTTTCCTTACTGTTCATTATCAATTTTGGGGTTAACAACATGAAAGATTAAAGTT